CGCTTTTGTCTCCTAGCAGAGGTGGGTTCATGACTCGCCAAAGCTCCACCAGGAGACGAGCGCGTAGCGCCCAAGGTCTTTGACCTCCAATCAACCCATGGCTTATGGTGTTCCAACCATGCCATTCCTAGGAAGTGGTGATATCTTGCATCCAAGTCTAAGACTAGACAGCGTTCCACGCTATCAAAGTCAAGGAACTTGACTACGAGGTCCACAGGGACCTTCGGGACCGTGGCACGCGTCCCCGTCGCTAGACGAACAGTGACGATGTCACCCAACCGCTGTTCAGCTACTCAGCATACAGCTGACTACCTTCTATCGTGGAGCGTCGAGCATAATTGCCCGACGCCCCGGAAATCGATGAGGATCTTCCATGGCTTCTCGAAACCCTTTACGGTCACCTCCACGACTAGCAAGCCCGGTTTGCACACACGTTCCGTGTTTAAGAGCTCAAAGCTCTTCGGGGCTGGGCCCTGTTGCCCTGTGCCTCCCTGAGGCTCAACAGAACTCAGTTCTCCCCCAGTAGGTCGCCCCGCGCCTACTGGGTGGTGTCGTTTCCCCGCGACAAACCAGACTGGTAGGAATTGGGGCGATGGTTCGAAGAACTTGACGCGCCTTGCGCAGGTTGCAACCGTTCCGAAGGTGACGGGTGACTCCACAGACAAAACACCGTCGAATGTGTGTATGCTGCCCGGCAGCTCGGGGCTCTGCTCCCTCGTCCTTAGCATAGCTGAGATCCATGGGCACAGGCCGCTCGACGAGCTCTTGGAGTGTGCATTCCAACCAAGTCGTGCCGACTAAAAATTAAATTCGGCATTCAATGCCACATTCACCGCCTCTTCAAATAAAGATGGATGCACACGGAAGACTTCCATTCTGGCCACGCAAGTGCGGAGGTTTTCCATACAGACGGTCACTGCGACCGCCTCCGGAAAGGGATCTGCTGCCATCCCGGCAATGAGAGTGCGCATCTCTTGGACAAAGTTCACCAATTCTTTGTTGCCCTGTCGGGCAGCAAGGAAGCGCGATCGTACGCGATATTCCTGATTAGGCGCGAAGAACACTCATGAGAACTGCAATTTCAGCTCCGCTCAGGAGGAAAACGCAGCTTCGACCGAAGTTAGTGCCCATTCTCGCGCTCGACCACCAAGCTTTGAGATGGCTTGCGCCACGCGCTGTTGCTCGGTCCGGAGCATGGCAAATGCGATGGTCATCTCGACCTCTCTCACCCAGAGCATGAGATTCTCTCCATCCATCCCCTCGAAGACCATAACGCTCACGATGAGCGGCTTAGATCGGGGAAAATTACCCGTCACTGACAGGGGCGTCATAGTCGCAAATGATGCAGACATCTTCTGCTGCAGGTGCTCTAGCAGCGCTTTTTTGTAACTTGAAAACGCCTCTAGAGGCGCACCGTTTGTCTCTGGACCTTGCGCAGCAAGACGTTGCACGCCCTCAGGGCCAAGCAAGGACATCAGCTTTTTAAGCCCGTCCTGCATGCCCTGAGGCAAAGAGAAAAAATGTTCCATC